AAGAATCGAACACTTCAAAGAATCGAACACTTCAAAGAATCGAACACGTCAAAGAATCGGACACTTCAAAGAATCGAACACTTCAAATAATCGAACACTTCAATGAATCGAACACTTCAAAGAATCGAACAGGCATACCTTAAAAAGTGACCACAGAGTGCGTGTCAAACCCAGTAAGGTGTGATCAAACCTCTGTCTGCTACTGCGTAATAAACATCCTTAATAAAAAAACATGATGTTGTAGTGAATTAGTAAAGATGTTTTTTAAAAGAAAATCTTCAAAAACTATTAACAGCAGTTAGATTAGCAGGCTTCATTCATTCAAGCTTTATTTGTACAGGTTAATCCCATTGAGCCTCAGGGACTCATTTACGAGAAAGACCTGATTTCTTAACTTATTATTATTATTATTATTATTATTATTATTATAATTATTATTCAAATTAAAGAGTAACAACAAAAGGTAAAGAGCTTCTATTATATTCTCTTCAGCCAGTAAAACACGTGATGTGTGGCTTTTAAAAAGTTACAGAGCACAGTAAAAAAAAGAAACTTGATAAAAAATTAATTCACAGACGTCACAACAAAACATTCTGATAAACCTTCAAACCAAAGTGTGAGCAGAGGAGCTGAATTTAGTTTCAGATCTTTCCTCCATGTTTTCTTGTCGAGTGGGATTTTGGAGAACCTGCAGCTTTTTTTTTTTATTCCATCTGTTCCCCACAAGCTGCCGGACACGCCGACACGGCCCACGACCCTTTGAGGAACACTGAGCCGATGGCACAAGGACCAGACTGAAACATGAAGTGGGTATGATGGAACTACCTGGATTCAGCACACATCGTTAGTTTCATTTAAAACTGAGCAACTGGCTGCGAGAAAAAAACTTCATTCTTTCATAGAGAACGCAGCGTAATGTTGCATCAATTAATGATTTCAGGTGCACCGCAGAGAGAAGTGAAACGTCAGCTTGAAGTTTAAATTTGAGGTGCTGAGCAGTCAGACCTGTTGTTCTGGTCCACAGCGATGCTCTGACCTCCAGGTACGAGCTCTTTGACTTCCATCATCCCATAACTCTCTCTGGTGATCTACGATGAAAACAGCAAACAATATTATCTTTGGCAGAATACCATTAGTCTACAATTTACACTTTTGTAGTTCACTGATAAATCTGATAATTCTCCATTTTATCTATGAAAAATACTAAAACAACCTGTTCACACACACACACACACACACGCACGCACACACACACACACACACACACACACACACACACACACACACACCCACCCACCCCACAGCCCTCCGGGAGGAAGCTGCGCTGCATCCGAGCAAAAACCTCCAGACTGAAGACCATCTGAACACAGACAGACTGACTGAACTGCCCCTCAGCCACTTTAACATCCATGCACGTGATCTGCTCATCGGCATCAGAAGCATTAGTAATGTGTGTGTGGGGTGGGGGGGTGGGGGGGTGGGGGGTCCTCTCCCAGAGAATTTGAATAAAGTAGATGCCATTCCCTGAATTCTGGTGTGTTTTAACAGGTTAACATTTAGTTGACCTCCACAAGTAACACTTGATTCAACAACTAGTTTAGAGAGCTGAAGTTCCTGACCAACAGCGCTCCTTGTGTGAATAGAGCACGCTCCGCTTCTCTCAGACATCCTAACCCCCAGTGTCCAAAACTGCCAGAACTAACGTAGTGCTAAGCTAGCAGCATACAATACAGCCACATTATCTAGAATGCTACAGACGTAGCGCTCTCATTCTCTCACATAGCCTAACCCCACCCCCACCCCGTCAACAGCCCGCACTAGCGTGGTGCTAAGCTAGCACACAAAACAGAAGTGTCTATCCTCCCCCCGTGAGCATCCTGCCAGGACAGATGGCCGAGGAGAAACTGCACGCAGTAGTTGTTGGTAACCAGGAAAACCCGGAGTGGAGTTTTAGTGGGCCAAGTATTTTCCTATTAATCAAGTGGAATGGATTCACTCACTAAGAAAGAGAACTCACTGGGTGAACTAATATTTCATTGTAAATGTTTGTGTGTGTGTGTGTGTGTGTGCACGCGCACGCGTGTGTGTGTGTGTGAGTGGGGGGGGGGACACGTCCCCATCACATATAATTGTTGCGACGCCCATGGATCTGCTGCTGCACTTTGGTTCTTTTTAACTTTTAATTTAGTCACAATAGTTGGTATCAAATCATTATTATTATTATGGTCTTATTTTAACAAACTTTTGTTCAGTTCTTATTGCTGCAAAGATTTATTTCATATGGGTTGTTTTTGAAATCATAGTAAACGGACAGTGAAGGGGAACTTTTTTTTTTTTTTTTTTAACCATATAATGGTTTGATGACAATAAACTTTTCCTCTGTGTAGCCAAAACTAACAGCTAGCTGTAAGCTGTTTATTGTGTTATATTGCAACATCAGGATAACATTATATAACGTTGTAATGTTATGAGTCATGTTTGTAGGAAAAAACACACACGGTGCGCACAAGTTTTATCAAATAACTGATTATTAAAAGCAACACGTGTGAAGGACCTTTAGGAGGAATGATAAATGATCATGAAGAATTCAGAAATTTTAAACATTTTAAAAATACACAACCTGTCTCATTACTAAAATACAAAAATCTGGTACATCAAAAATAAATATGTAAAAGGTGTAGAAAAAGTTACACACAGAAAAGTTCAGCAGAAATGTCTCCTCCACATCTCCTTCATAATCCAGAAGTTCCTGTAGACTTCTGTAAACAGGAAGTAAGAGCGAATAAAGACGACCAAGAAAAACAACGGAGAACTTTTAGTCTCAGTGAAGAACTGATACTGAAGAACGTCGACATGTGGAGCTAAAAACAGACGTTAAGATTAGCTTCGAGCTGCGCACGCTCACTTCAGAATCAATAATCAATATGAGTAAACTGGGGCACAGGAGAGTCCCTGCTCTGAACCCAAAGAAACAGTTTTGCAGCCTCTAACCTCGACAAGACCCGAGTCTCGTTCCAAACACTCGCTGCATTTCTGCAGACGAACCTGCAGAGTGTTCGAGCAGCAAGACCGACGCTCGTTGTTCTACAACTTTATTAATAAAGCACTTTATAAACAACAGCGCTGGCCAAATGCTGCACACTGATCTCACATTGAAGCAAGCACTAAAACTATAAAATCAAGTAAAACTAAAAGTAATGAACTGTTGAAATCATAAAAACAATAAAAACGTTTTGCTGTTGGCCTTGAGCTCAGGTTGTAAACAGGATCGTTATGAAATTACAAAAACATACAGTAGAAGTTTTACAACAGATTCACTTGTTAATTCCGATGTGAATTATTTACTGAGTGACATGTAGCAGAGAATCTGTTATTCCAGACGCCGTACGGCTGTTGGTAAATCCAGACGGAGCCGGCTGCTCCACCTCAGATGAAGTGAAGCGCTCGGTGCGGAGCCGGAGAGTTATGGAGCAGAACTCGGCTGCATTAACGTGTCGGACTACGCTGCACACGTGTAGAACAACGAGCATCCGTTTGTGGAGCCGATCACATTTTGATCCAGAACATATGGAATATAACGCATATTGTAATAAATAACTAGTTTCCAGCAGTTGTAGCAAACGTTGCGTGTATAAAATAATAAAAAGACTACCTGGCCTCGGTGGGGGAGAGCTCTTTAAAGTCGTCCAGTGAGGGTGAAACATCCAGCAGCTTCTTGTAGAGAAGCAGGGGGAAGTGCAGGTCCACCACCGTGGAGTTATAGATGGCAAGACCGCAGATGATCCCGACCAGGTGGAACCAGTTCTCCTCCACAAAGCACTGGACACGCACACAGACGTTCATTAGAGCTTTCTGACCAGTTTGTTCAAACCTACATCAGCTTCCTGAGCAAGAGCAAAAGTCACATTTTAACATTTTTTATTTTTTGTACTCTATTAATCCAGAGGAGAAATTAATTATCTGCATTTTTCACATCGCACACGTCCCAGGGTGGAGGCAGGTGGGGGTGCTTCACCTTTCCCACCCTCAGTTTGATGTTGTAGGTCCGGGGAGTTGAACCAGCAACTTTCCGATCGCAGGCCCACATTCTCTAGCCTCTGCGCCGCCACTCCCCTCCTCCACAATAGTTCAAGAGGAAACAAAAATCTCCAGCACGATTTGTCTCGTGCACAAATGTTACTGTTAACCCTTTCAGTCCAGTGAACGCTTCAGGGGGGCCGAGATGGTGCAGAGGCAGGGCAGCCGACCCGGGACCCCAATGTCCCATGTTCGATCCCCAGTCATCGCACACCTCGTGGTGTCTCTGAGCAGGACGCCTCAGCCCCAGTTGCTCCCCGGGTGCATTCAGCAGCTGCTCCACCTGGTGGTGGATGGGTCAACTGCAGAGCCAACTTCACCATCGTATGGAAACATGCGCTGACGTCAACACATTATTAATTTATTCACCGGTTTACAGTCAAACCGTTGTTGATTAAAATCACAATTTTCAGTCATTTTCTTACGGTTTAGTTTAGCAACGGTTCTTTTTATGATCCAGATGTTGGGAACTCTTATGTTGTGCATTTTCTCTTTGAAAAGAATCCCGCTTAAATTTTTTATGTCTTACTCTGAGCTGTCATTGTTCTTTGTTGTTGTTAGCATTTAGTCTGAACCTGTCCAAACATTAGACACCTGCTTATCAAATAAAAATAATTGTTAGAACCATGTTCATGTATATACTGTACATTTAATATATTCTGAATTATCTGTTAGGTATAACTTTTTTAATGTATACCTTTGATTTTTATGTTTTCAGTCAGGTCTGTTCGTTTTATGCAAACATAAAAGTGTTGTAGTAAAAACGTATTTAAACAGATCACAATTCTGACATCATCCTGGAAACAATGAGCAGATCCATGAGGTTGTGAACGTTCACCATCAGCTCACCAGTTAAGAAGCTGACACTGCTGTTGGTTCTGCACGTGCAAGAAGCCCAAGACCCGGTCTTATCTCTGCCCATGAACCGTATGTTTGACGGAGAGCGCCGGGTGAGAAGGCTGCAGCTGGCTCCTCCTGACCTCTTGTGAACTCTGAGCAGATAAGGCTATGAAAGTGAGTGGAAAACAGCTCGAGGCAGATAAAGTTCTATCTTATCTTGTTCTTGTGACTGGTCTTCATGTGTACATTTATGTAACCTCTCCTTAAAATCAGTCCTTGCAAGTAAAATACCAGTTTAAAATCTTCTCCTACCGTCGAGTGCGATTCTTTTGGGAAAGAGTTACTTTAAAAATTAGATGCGGGAAAAGAAGCTTTGTGAACGGAAATAAAATGAAGTTTTCAACAGGATTTTCTGAGTAAATCAAATCATCTATTTTTAGACAGATGTCGGGATTAAAACGATGGAGGCAGAAAAGTCTTTTGGGTCAGCAACTCTTTGTGGAAGTTCAGGACGTGGTCCTGCATGTTCTCGCTGACACGCATCAATCTGCACGTAAACAGAGACGACTGCTCTTGGAAAATGCAGATGCTGACTGATCACACCCTGCAGATCTATTTAAGGCTCAGTTAAAGAAAGTTAAAAATAATCAACGAAAAGCCACTGGATTTACTCAAACAGAGGCTAAAAACTCTCAGGAACCAATCGACAGAACCAGACGAGAAAGTGTCTTCGTTTCTTTGACTTTGTTCAACGGCTCTGACTGGAACATCATCATCATCATGCAGATGTGATGAGCATCATATGTGACGTTATCATGTTATATGATGGTGTCAAGACCGTGACACCGTGCTCGTTAGCATGGACCGTGCTGTAGTTGGTCATTCCAGTGTTTTTATTTCAGTGGGTCCGTCATACGTTAGAGGTAAAAATGTTTGGGTATCTACGACCTTGTGAAGCTCGTCTACAGCCAGTTAATATTTTTAGAGGACAACGGTATCACTGAGCCGTTTCAGTCTGGGTTCAAAGCCCGTCACAGTACAGAGAGTGCATTTTTGAGGGTTTAAAATGATATATTCTTGTCAACAGGTTCCTTAAAGGTTGTTGTTTTAGTGCTCTTAGATTTGTCTGCTGCATTTGACACTGTTGATCACAGGATTTTAATCTCTCATCTTGAGCACTGTGAGGGCATCAGGGGTGTCGCCCTCAATTGGTTTCAGTCATATTTAACCAAAAGGAGTTTCTGCGTAAAAATGGACAATTTTATATCTCCCACTGCTCCTCTTCCACATGGTGTCCCCCAGGGCTCAATCCTTGGCCCTCTTATTTGCTCTTTACTTACTCCCCCTCGGCTCTATTTTCAGGAAACATGGCATTTCATTTCACTACTATGCTGATGATTGCCAGATCTATTTTCCCATGGCACAAAACAGCACATTCCTGCAACTTACACACTGCCTTAATGATGTTAAGTCATGGTTTTCTCTTAACTTCCTTAGTCTAAATGAGAACAAGACTGAAGTTATGATGTTTGGACTGAGTTGCTGTCCCTCTCCCAGCATAGATCTTGGCTCACTGTCATTTTATGTCAGGGACTGTGTCACCAATCTGGGGGTGAAGTTTGAGTCTGATTTTAAATTTGAAAAACAGATGAGCAGTGTGTTGTTCAGAAAAGTTTTTATCAACTTCGCCCAACAGCAAAAGTGAAACCAATCCTAGAAAGACCTGACTTGGAGAAATTAATCCACACTTTTATCACAGCTCATCTTGACTACTGTAATGCGCTGTATGCAGACATTAGACCTCTCCTGCCCGTCTGCAGCTTGTGCAGAACTCTGCTGCTCGCCTGTTAACTCAGGCCCGTAGGCGCGAGCACATCACTCCCATCCCGGCGTCCCTTCAATGGCTCCCTGAGCACCACAGAATTCATTTTAAGCTTTTGCTGTTTGTTTTTAAATGCTTGAACAACCTTGTCCCATCTGTCTGAGCTGCTTCAGCCTTACTGTCCACCCCGATCCCTACGATCAGCTGATCGGTTGCTCCCTAAAGGCTGAAGCTCAGAGGTGACGGAGCGTTTGCTGTTGTTGCTCCCAGGTTGTGGAGCAACTTATCCTTGAGTGTCAGACAGGCCTCCTCTCTTCCTGTTTTTAAATCTCTTTTAAACACACATTTTTATTCTTTGGCTTTTAACATGTGATCTTATATTTTATGGCATCTTAACACGCCTGCCGTGAAACTGATATTGTATGTTTTTTATGTTTCTTTGTGTATGCTTTGCATGTTTTTACTGTCTTAATTAATTTGTCTTATTGTACAGCACTTTGGCTACCCTTGTGGTTTTTAAAATGTGCTATAGAAATAAAGTTGATTGTGTAAAAAGTCCTGTGCAAACGCTTACAGTGTCTGAGAACCACAGCAGGTTTGACTCTTTGTAATGAGTGAACATCCCATAAACAGGATCCATCAACTCCTTTAACAGCAGCAGGAAGAACTCTTTAGTCACTCCACCTGCGTCCACAGCCTCCTCACCGTCAAAGATCACCTGGAGGAGGAAGCCAGAAGTTGATAATTGGACCAAAGGAGAGCAAACACACAATTTCATTAGACTGACATTTAGTTATTAGTTCATTGACCTTGAGCGGTTTCTTGAGGTCCACATCGGAGTACATGGTGAGCTCACGCAGAGTGTCACTCACTAAATGGTTTCTGCGCACATGGAGCACCAGGTATGGGTTTCTAGCAAGGTGGGGTTCAAGAGTGAGCAGCATGAAGACGTTGTGCAGGTTTGCACCGCTTACAGCCATCTTGGTAGCATGGAAAGAGAAAATTACACCAAATAAGAACTGCACAAGAAGTGACACTGTACCGGATCAGTCGAGGCCCGGGTTAACCACCACCACCACCACCACCATGGAGACAACTGTGCTACTGTTAGCTGAACATCACGAGGAGGGAAACGTGTCAGGAGACAGAGGGAGAAGAGGAAAGTCAAGAATGTAGGACTGAAGGTTGCAACTCTAAATGTGGGGAAGTGCAGGAAGATGTTCAAAGAAAGAGTTTAGTCAAGAAGAAATATGACAGAGGACTGAAGGGAGGAGACAGGAATATAAGGAGATGCAATGAAAGCAAAGAGGGAGGTAGCTAAGACAAAGCAGAAGGAGCATGATGAGTTGTATGAGAGGCTGGACACTAAAGAGGACGAGAAGAACTTGTACTGATTGGAGAGACAGAGGGATCAGGCTGGAAAGGATGTGCAGTGTCTCAGCCCCTTATTGTTTGCTTTGGTGATGGACCGACTAACAGATGAGGTCAGGCAGGAATCCCCGTGAACGATGATGTTTGCAGATGACATTGTGATCTGTGGTGAAAACAGGGAACAGGTGGAAGAGAACTTGGAGAGGTGGAGGTATGCACTTGAAAGAAGAGGAATGAAAGTCAGCCGTAGTAAGACAGAGTCCATGTGTGTGAATGAGAGGGAGGAGGTGGAACAGTGAGGCTACAAGGAGCAGAGGTCACAAAGGTGCAGGACTTCAAGGACTTGGGGTCCACTGTCCAGGAACATGGGGAGTGTGGTAAAGAGGAGAAGAAGAGAGTCCAGGCAGGATGGAGTGATGGAGAAAAGTTTCAGGAGTGATTTGAGACAAAAGGGTGTCAGCAAAAGTCAAAGGAAAAGTTTACAAGACAGTGGTGAGACCAGCTCTGTTGTATGGTCTGGAGACAGAGACATGGACAAAACAACAGGAGACAGAACTGGAAGTGAAGAAATGAAGATGTTGAGGTTCTCCTTAGGAGAGACAAGGATGGAGAAGATCAAGAATGAGATCATCAGAGGTACAGCACAGGTTGAACAACTGGGAGATAAAGTTAGAGAGGACACACTGAGATGGTTTGGACATGTCCAGAGGAGGGACAGTGGTTTGGACATGTCCAG